GACGGAGGGAGGAGAGAGTCTAGACCGAGGGAGGAGAGAGAGTCTAGACCGGAGGGAGGAGAGAGAGTCTAGACCGGAGGGAGGAGAGAGAGTCTAGACCGGAGGGAGGAGAGAGAGTCTAGACCGGAGGAGAGGAGAGAGTCTAGACCGGAGGGAGGAGAGAGTCTAGACCAGAGGGAGGAGAGAGAGTCTAGACCGGAGGGAGGAGAGAGAGTCTAGACCAGAGGGAGGAGAGAGAGTCTAGACCAGAGGGAGGAGAGAGAGTCTAGACCAGAGGGAGGAGAGAGAGTCTAGACCGGAGGGAGGAGAGAGAGTCTAGACCGGAGGGAGGAGAGAGAGTCTAGACCGGAGGGAGGAGAGAGAGTCTAGACCAGAGGGAGGAGAGAGAGTCTAGACCAGAGGGAGAGAGAGTCTAGACCGAGGGAGGAGAGAGAGTCTAGACCAGAGGAGGAGAGAGTCTAGACCAGAGGGAGGAGAGAGAGTCTAGACCGGAGGGAGGAGAGAGAGTCTAGACCAGAGGGAGGAGAGAGAGTCTAGACCAGAGGGAGGAGAGAGTCTAGACCAGAGGGAGGAGAGAGAGTCTAGACCAGAGGGAGGAGAGAGAGTCTAGACCAGAGGGAGGAGAGAGTCTAGACCGGAGGGAGGAGAGAGAGTCTAGACCGGAGGGAGGGAGAGAGTCTAGACCAGAGGGAGGAGAGAGAGTCTAGACCAGAGGGAGGAGAGAGAGTCTAGACCGGAGGGAGGAGAGAGAGTCTAGACCGAGGGAGGAGAGAGAGTCTAGACCGAGGGAGGAGAGAGTCTAGACCAGAGGGAGGAGAGAGAGTCTAGACCGAGGAGGAGAGAGAGTCTAGACCGGAGGGAGGAGAGAGTCTAGACCAGAGGGAGGAGAGAGAGTCTAGACCAGAGGGAGGAGAGAGAGTCTAGACCAGAGGGAGGAGAGAGAGTCTAGACGAGAGGAGGCCAGAGGGAGGAGAGAGTCTAGACCAGAGGGAGGAGAGAGAGTCTAGACCGAGGGAGGAGAGAGAGTCTAGACCGAGGGGAGGAGAGAGTCTAGACCGGAGGGAGGAGAGAGAGTCTAGACCGAGGGAGGAGAGAGAGTCTAGACCGAGGGAGGAGAGAGTCTAGACCGGAGGGAGGAGAGAGTCTAGACCGGAGGGAGGAGAGAGAGTCTAGACCGAGGGAGAGAGAGAGTCTAGACCGGAGGAGGAGAGAGAGTCTAGACCGAGGGAGGAGAGAGTCTAGACCGGAGGGAGGAGAGAGAGTCTAGACCGAGAGGGAGGAGGAGAGAGTCTAGACCGGAGGGAGGAGAGAGAGTCTAGACCGGAGGGAGGAGAGAGAGTCTAGACCGGAGGGAGGAGAGAGTCTAGACCGGAGGGAGGAGAGAGAGTCTAGACCGAGGGAGGAGAGAGTCTAGACCGGAGGGAGGGAGAGAGTCTAGACCGAGGGAGGAGAGAGTCTAGACCGGAGGGAGGAGAGAGAGTCTAGACCGGAGGGAGGAGAGAGTCTAGACCGGAGGGAGGAGAGAGTCTAGACCGGAGGGAGGAGAGAGAGTCTAGACCGAGGGAGGAGAGAGAGTCTAGACCGGAGGGAGGAGAGAGAGTCTAGACCAGAGGGAGAGAGAGAGTCTAGACCGGAGGGAGGAGAGAGTCTAGACCGAGGGAGGAGAGAGAGTCTAGACCGGAGGGAGGAGAGAGAGTCTAGACCTGAGGGAGGAGAGAGAGTCTAGACCGGAGGGAGGAGAGAGAGTCTAGACCGGAGGGAGGAGAGAGAGTCTAGACCGGAGGGAGGAGAGAGTCTAGACCGGAGGGAGGAGAGAGAGTCTAGACCGGAGGGAGGAGAGAGTCTAGACCGGGGAGGAGAGAGAGTCTAGACCGAGGGAGGTGAGAGAGTCTAGACCAGAGGGAGGAGAGAGAGTCTAGACCAGAGGGAGGAGAGAGTCTAGACCGGAGGGAGGAGAGAGAGTCTAGACCGAGGGAGGAGAGAGATCTAGACCGGAGGGAGGAGAGAGTCTAGACCGAGGAGGAGAGAGAGTCTAGACCGGAGGGAGGTGAGAGAGTCTAGACCAGAGGGAGGAGAGAAAGTCTAGACCAGAGGGAGGAGAGAGAGTCTAGACCAGAGGGAGGAGAGAGAGTATAGACCAGAGGGAGGAGAGAGAGTATAGACCAGAGGGAGGAGAGAGAGTCTAGACCAGAGGGAGGAGAGAATCTAGACCGGAGGGAGGAGAGAGAGTCTAGACCGGAGGGAGGAGAGAGAGTCTAGACCGGAGGGAGGAGAGAGAGTATAGACCAGAGGGAGGAGAGAGAGTCTAGACCAGAGGGAGGAGAGAGTCTATTCCAGAGGAGGAGAGAGTCTAGACCAGAGGGAGGAGAGAGAGTATAGACCAGAGGGAGGAGAGAGAGTCTAGACCAGAGGAGGAGAGAGAGTCTATTCCAGAGGAGGAGAGAGTCTAGACCAGAGGGAGGAGAGAGAGTATAGACCAGAGGAGGAGAGAGTCTAGACCAGAGGGAGGAGAGAGTCTAGACCGGAGGAGGAGAGAGAGTCTAGACCGAGGGAGGAGAGAGAGTCTAGACCGGAGGGAGGAGAGAGTCTAGACCAGAGGGAGGAGAGGAGTCTAGACCGGAGGGAGGAGAGAGAGTCTAGACCGGAGGGAGGAGAGAGAGTCTAGACCAGAGGGAGGAGAGAGAGTCTAGACCGGAGGGAGGAGAGAGAGTCTAGACCGGAGGGAGGAGAGAGAGTCTAGACCGGAGGGAGGAGAGAGAGTCTAGACCAGAGGGAGGAGAGAGAGTCTAGACCGGAGGGAGGAGAGAGAGTCTAGACCGGAGGGAGGAGAGAGTCTAGACCGGAGGGAGGAGAGAGTCTAGACCGGAGGGAGGAGAGAGAGTCTAGACCAGAGGGAGGAGAGAGAGTCTAGACCGAGGGAGGAGAGAGTCTAGACCGGAGGGAGGAGAGAGAGTCTAGACCGGAGGGAGGAGAGAGAGTCTAGACCGGAGGGAGGAGAGAGAGTCTAGACCGGAGGGAGGAGAGAGAGTCTAGACCGGAGGGAGGAGAGAGAGTCTAGACCGGGGAGGAGAGAGTCAGACCGGAGGAGGAAGAGAGTCTAGACCGGAGGGAGGGAGAGAGTCTAGACCGAGGGAGGAGAGAGTCTAGACCAGAGGGAGGAGAGAGTCTAGACCGGAGGGAGGAGAGAGAGTCTAGACCGGAGGGAGGAGAGAGAGTCTAGACCGGAGGGAGAGAGAGAGTCTAGACCGGAGGGAGAGAGAGAGTCTAGACCGGAGGGAGGAGAGAGAGTCTAGACCGGAGGGAGGAGAGAGAGTCTAGACCGGAGGGAGGAGAGAGAGTCTAGACCGAGGGAGGAGAGAGAGTCTAGACCGAGGGAGGAGAGAGTCAGACCAGAGTGAGCGAGTTAGCCAGAGGAGGAGAGAGTCTAGACCGGAGGGAGGAGAGAGAGTCTAGACCGGAGGGAGGAGAGAGTCTAGACCGGAGGGAGGAGAGAGAGTCTAGACCGAGGGAGGAGAGAGAGTCTAGACCAGAGGGAGGAGAGAGACTATACCGGGAGGAGAATCTAGACCGGAGGAGGAGAGAGTATAGACCGAGGGAGGAGAGTAGTCTAGACGAGGAGGAGGAGAGATCCAGACGGGGAGGAGAGAGAGTCTAGACCGGAGGGAGGAGAGAGAGTCTAGACCAGAGGGAGGAGAGAGAGTCTAGACCGGAGGGAGGAGAGAGAGTCTAGACCGGAGGGAGGAGAGAGTCTAGACCGGAGGGAGGAAGAGAGTCTAGACCGGAGGGAGGAGAGAGAGCTAGAGACCGGAGGGAGGAGAGAGAGTCTAGACCGGAGGGAGGAGAGAGAGTCTAGACCGGAGGGAGGAGAGAGAGTCTAGACCGGAGGGAGGAGAGAGAGTCTAGACCGGAGGGAGGAGAGAGAGTCTAGACCGGAGGGAGGAGAGAGAGTCTAGACGGAGGGAGGAGAGAGAGTCTAGACCGGAGGGAGGAGAGGAGTCCTAGACCGGAGGGAGGATGAGAGAGTCTAGACCGGGGGAGGGAGGAGCTAACCGGGAGGAGAGAGTCTAGACCGGAGGGATGGAGAGGGAGTCTAGACCGGAGGGAGGAGAGAGAGTCTAGACCGGAGGGAGGAGAGAGTCTAGACCGGAGGGAGGAGAGAGTCTAGACCAGAGGGAGGAGAGAGAGTCTAGACCAGAGGGAGGAGAGAGAGTCTAGACCAGAGGGAGGGAGAGAGTATAGACCAAGGGAGGAGAGAATCTAGACCGAGGGAGGAGAGAGAGTCTAGACCGAGGGAGGAGAGAGAGTCTAGACCGGAGGGAGGAGAGAGTCTAGACCAGAGGGAGGAGAGAGAGTCTAGACCAGAGGGAGGAGAGAGAGTATAGACCAGAGGGAGGAGAGAGAGTATTAGACCAGAGGGAGGAGAGAGAGTATAGACCAGAGGGAGGAGAGAGAGTCTAGACCAGAGGGAGGAGAGAATCTAGACCGGAGGGAAGGAGAGAGAGTCTAAGGGATGTCTAATTTATAAGTCTTAGTTTTCACAAATCCATCCAAAAAAGTCTTTCAAAAGAAGAGGAACAAAATGTCAAATTATATTGGAAACAAAAGCAGTGGTTCGTGGGTTTTAGGACCTTTGTTATTCCAGTGTGCTGCGAAGGTTTCCTCCAGGTGCTCCGGTTTCCTCCAGGTGCTCCGGTTTCCTCCTGGTGTTCCGGTTTCCTCCTGGTGTTCCGGTTCCTCCAGCTCCGGTTTCCTCCAGGTGCTCCGGTTTCCTCCAGGTGCTCCGGTTTTCTCCAGGTGCTCCGGTTTCCTCCTGGTGCTCCGGTTTCCTCCTGGTGCTCCGGTTTTCCTCCTGGTTCTCCCGGTTTTCCTCCAGGTGGGCTCCGGTTTCCTCCTGGTGCTCCGGTTTTCCTCCTGGTGTTCCGGTTTCCTCTAGTGCTCTGGTTTTCCTCCTGGTGCTCCTGTTTTCCTCCGTTTTCCTCCTGGTGTTCCGGTTTTCCTCTAGGTGCTTCCGGTTTCCTCCTGGTGCTCCCTGTTTCCTCCGTTTCCTCCAGGTGCTCTGGTTTCCTCCAGGTGCTCTGGTTTCCTCCTGGTGCTTCCGGTTTCCTCCTGGTGCTCCGGTTTCCTCTGGTGCTCCCGGTTTCCTCTAGGTGCTACCGGTTTCCTCCAGGTGCTCCGGTTTTCCTCCTGTGCTCCCGGTTTCCTCCTGGTGCTCCGGTTTCCTCCTGGTGCTCCGGTTTCCTCCTGTGCTCCGGTTTCCTCGAGGTGCTCCGGTTGTCCTCTAGGTGCTCCGGTTTCCTCCTGGTGCTCCGGTTTCCTCCTGGTGCTCCGGTTTCCTCTAGGTGCTCCGGTTTCCTCCTGTGGTGCTGGCGGTTGTTCTCTGCGTCGCGGCTAATGGATTTCTCGCTAAAGGTCGCTGGGAAACATAATCTTTAATTAGATTATCTGTAATTTCTGGTGTTTTCTGCATATTTCAGTTGTTAATTAGTTTATGAATAATAATGCTGTAGACGGTGTCGCTGTAGAGAGAATAATGTATTTATAGATTTAAATTAGGGCTGTCAAAAGTAAGTCATGTTTTTTATATAGCGCCTTTCTCAGACCAGAGTCACACAGAGGTGGGAGGGGCCAGCGCAGGAGGCACAGACCTCTACATGTTTTTAGTGGTAGGGGAAACCGGAGCACCCGGAGGGAACCTATGCAGACACGGGGAGAACATGCAAACCGTAGTCTGTGGAGCCCTAGAATAAGGTTCTGGGTTCGAATCCTGGTCGGAACAGGGCCTCTCTGAGTGGAGTTTGGGCTATTGTGCTCCCCATGTCTGCGGAGTGGTTTCACGCCGTTGGCCGCCGGGTTCCGCCTGGGTCTCCGGTATACTCAGTCGTAAAACATAGTACAGCAGCTTGCAGGGTGGAGTTGTGGTGTTGGGCTGAATGGGGGACGACGGATGGGAAATTAGCCCATATAGAGGTACTGGGTGTGATGGTTCATTTACCATCTGCTGTAAGGCAGGTTATTGAGGGGTTTGGGAATAAGGTCCGCATCATGGTTCGTCTCCTGGCCGCTCGCTTGGATGGTGTTAATAATCTGCAGTGGTTGCATACTTGTCAGTCTCCTGGCCTCGCTCAGGGATGTGTGTATATCATCTGCGAGTGATTTGCACAGGGTCGGCGACTGTATCGCCGCATGTATGTGTGAATAATCTGACTGGGTTGTGTCACTCTGGGTTCGTCGCCTGTCCGCTCGCATGGATGTGTTGAGTAAGCGGCAGTGTTTTCACATGTGGCGGGCTCCGGTCTCGCTCATGGATGGTTAATAGTCTGCAGTGGTTGCACATGTGCGTCTGCCTGTCTCTCTCATGTATGGTCGTTTTGAAATAAGCTGCAGGGGGTGAGCACATGTGCGGCGCCTCCTGCTCGCGCATATCACTGTATGTGTTCTATGAAGCGGCAGTGTGTTGGCCGTGGTTGCGCCGTCGGGAGTCGACAGCCAGTTATTCAAAGTGGGTTCGATAGAAGAGACTAAAAACCAAGTCCAGACGCAGACGGATGGAGCTCGGGGGGCCCAACTGCTTCTGTTGTGGTGGGGGGGGGGGGGGGGGGCAGGCTTTGGTGGTCTGGGTGTGTGGGGCACTTGTTCACGCCAGGGGCTGGAGCTTATACTCCGGACCGGGACGCGGGGAAAGCCATGGAGCTAAACAAGAAGCTTGGGTTTTACAGACGGACGGGTTCCCAACGGCATCAAGGCGCCTATAACTACAATCAAAAATCCCAACAGCGGCGTTGTGGTTAAAATTACGGGTTTATACTGGTGAGATGTAGTAGTTAGGAGAGGGATATGATGTACCATATGAAGACCTGAAAAGGTACCACAGAGAGATGAGAGACTAGAGAGGGAGAGATAACCAGAGAGAGAGAGTACCTAGAGAAGGTGAGAGACCAGAGAGGGAGAGATCCAGAGAGGGAGTGTAGACCATAGTGGGAGAGAGTACCAGAAGAGGACCTAGAGAGACCAGAGAGGACCAGAGAGGAGTAGACCAGAGAGAGAGAGGCCAGAGAGAGGCATATTGTTCACGTAACTTGTCCTGTGCTCCTTGTTCCTACGGTCGCTGTGAACTGGTGATGCCAACACTGAAATTTCCCCACAGTGGGACGAATCAAAGATATCTCACCTTCATCTTTTTACTCTCTGTAAAAGGTGCAGTTAGACCAAATGACGGCTGTACGGTTACTGCCCCAAAAGCTTCATGAACTAAGGCGGGAAGTCTGAAAGGGCTGCTATGCGAATGCTATGCTAATTCTATGCTAAGCTGTCATTGTCACATTGTTGGCTAAAATGTGCATGACCAGAGAACTGTTTTTTCAATTGTAAACACACAACACACAGTGAAAAACTAAATGTGGGCCCTTTGTAATGATGACAGGTTAGGGCCCTTTAATGATGACAGATTAGGGCCCTTTAAAAATGACAGATTAGGGCCCTTTAATGATGACAGAATTAAGGGCCCTTTAAGATGACAGATTAGGGCCCTTAAAAAATGATCAGATCAGGGCTCTTTAATGATGACAGATTAGAGCCCTTTTAAAAAGGACAGATCAGGCTCGTTAATGATGACAGATTAGGGCCCTTTAATTATGACAGATAGGGGCCCTTTAATGATGACAGAGTTAGATTAGGGCCCTTTAATTATGACAGATTAGGGCCCTTTAATGATGACAGATTAGGCCCTTTAGTGATGACAGTTAAGGGCCCTGTTAAAAATGACAGATCAGGGCTCTTTAATGATGACAGATTAGGGCCCTTTAAAAATGACTGATCAAGGGCTCTTTAATGATGACAGATTAGGGCCCTTTAATGATGACAGATTAGGGCCCTTTAATATGATGACGGATAAGGGCCCTTTAATGATGACAGATAAGGGGCCCTTAATTGATTACCAGAGAGAGCCTAGTCCCTCCATCTTGCAGCAGACCGGACGGGAGGCGGCCTGACCCTGGACCCGTCTCCGCTCGCAGCCTGTGTCCATTTATCCTTTGTCTCAGACTCAAACAGAGCGGTAAGTAAGAGAGTTGTGGCGGAAAACCATGAATCCTCTCTGCTCTGGTCTGGACCAGTGTAAAACCAGAATCCTCTCTGCTCTGGTCTGGACCAGTGTAAAACCATGAATCCTCTCTGCTCTGGTCTGGACCAGTGTAAAACCATGAATCCTCTCTGCTCTGGTCTGGACCAGTGTAAAACCATGAATCCTCTCTGCTCTGGTCTGGACCAGTGTAAAACCATGAATCCCTCTCTGCTCTGGTCTGGACCAGTGTAAAACCATGAATCCTCTCTGCTCTGGTCTGGACCAGTGTAAAACCATGAATCCTCTCTGCTCTGGTCTGGAGCAGAGAGGATTCATGGTTTTACACTGGTCCAGACCAGAGCAGAGAGGATTCATGGTTTTACACTGGTCCAGACCAGAGCAGAGAGGATTCATGGTTTCACACTGGTCCAGACCAGAGCAGAGAGGATTCATGGTTTTACACTGGTCCAGACCAGAGCAGAGAGGATTCATGGTTTCACACTGGTCCAGACCAGAGCAGAGAGGATTCATGGTTTTACACTGGTCCAGACCAGAGCAGAGAGGATTCATGGTTTTACACTGGTCCAGACCAGAGCAGAGAGGATTCATGGTTTTACACTGGTCCAGACCAGAGCAGAGAGGATTCATGGTTTTTTTATATTTATATTTATATATATAGGGTTAGAGTAGAAACCTCAGTCTCTGTGCCGCTGCTCGGTCAGTTTAAAGTTACACATGTTTCACTTCTCCTTGGATCTGCTTTTACCGCGGTGCGTTATTTACCGTGTGTTGCCACGGCGACGAGGTTAAGCGAGGAGCGGACCGAGGCGAGCGGAGAGTGCCAGACTCCGCACAACTCTCTTACTTCCGCTCTGTTTGAGTCTGAGACAAGGATAATGGACCACAGGCTGCGAGCGGAGACCGGGTCCAGGGTCAGGCCGCCTCCAGTCCGGTCTGCTGCAAGATGGAGGGACTAGGCTCTCTCTGGTAATCAATAAAGGGCCCTTATCTGTCATCATTAAAGGGCCCTTATCTGTCATCAATAAAGGGCCCTAATCTGTCATCATTAAAGGGCCCTAATCTGTCATCATTAAAGAGCCCTGATCAGTCATTTTTAAAGGGCCCTAATCTGTCATCATTAAAGAGCCCTGATCTGTCATTTTTAAAGGGCCCTTATCTGTCATCAATAAAGGGCCCTAATCTGTCATCATTAAAGGGCCCTAATCTGTCATAATTAAAGGGCCCTAATCTAATCTGTCATCATTAAAGGGCCCTAATCTGTCATAATTAAAGGGCCCTAATCTGTCATCATTAACGAGCCCTGATCTGTCATTTTTAAAGGGCTCTAATCTGTCATCATTAAAGAGCCCTGATCTGTCATTTTTAAAGGGCCCTAATCTGTCATCATTAAAGGGCCCTAATCTGTCATCATTAAAGGGCCCTAATCTGTCATTTTTAAAGGGCCCTAATCTGTCATCATTAAAGGGCCCTAACCTGTCATCATTAAAGGGCCCACATTTAGTTTCACTGTGTGTTGTGTGTTTACAATTGAAAAACAGTTCTCTGGTCATGCACAATTTTAGCCAACAATGTGACAATGACAGATTAGCATAGAATTAGCATAGCATTAGCATAGCAGCCCTTTAAGACTTCCCGCCTTAGTTCATGAAGCTTTTGGGGCCGTAACCGTACAGCCGTCATCTTGGTCTAAATGCACCTTTTACAGAGAGTAAAAAGATGAAGAGATCTTTGATTCGTCCCACTGTGGGGAAATTTCAGTGTTGCATCACAAGTTACAGAACAGTAGGAAAAAGGAGCACACGGCACAAGTTAAGTGAACAATAGCCTCTCTCTGGCCTCTCTCTCTCTGGTCTCTCTCTCTCTGGTCCTCTCTGGTCTCTCTGGTCCTCTCTGGTCTCTCTCCCTCTCTGGTCTCTCTCCCTCTCTGGTCTCTCCCTCTCTGGTCTCTCCCTCTCTGGTCTCTCTCCCTCTCTGGTTTCTCTCCCTCTCTAGTCTCTCTCTCTCTCTGGTTCCTTTCTGGTCTCTCTTTGGTCTCTCTTCAATCTCTAACTCTAATATAAAAGTATAAAAGTATTTTAAAAAACGCCGCTGTTGGATTTTTGATTTAGTTTGGAGCCTTGTGCCCGTTGGAACCCGTCCGTCTGTAAAACCATGCTTCTTGTTTTGCTCCTGGCTTTCCCGCGTCACGGTCCGGTTTAGCTCAGCCAGGCGTGACAAGTGCAACAACAGACACAAAGCTCTCCCAAAAACAGAAGCAGTGGGACCAGCTCCATCCGTCTGCGTCTGGACTGTTTTTAGTCTCTTATAGAAACCACTTTGAATAAATGATGTCGACTCCCGAAGGCGCACACGGAAAACACTGCAGATTATTAACACATACATGAGAGAGACAGGAGACGAACATGTGAAAACACTGCAGATTATTAACACATACATGAGAGAGACAGGAGACGAACATGTGAAAACACTGCAGATTATTAACACATACATGAGAGAGACAGGAGACGAACATGTGAAAACACTGCAGATTATTAACACATACATGAGAGAGACAGGAGACGAACATGTGAAAACACTGCAGATTATTAACACATACATGAGAGAGACAGGAGACGAACATGTGAAAACACTGCAGATTATTAACACATACATGAGAGAGACTGGAGACGAACATGTGAAAACACTGCAGATTATTAACACATACATGAGAGAGACAGGAGACGAACATGTGACGGACTTTTAAATTACTAAATAAATGACTTACAGCAGAGGTAAATGAACACATCACTCCAGTACCTCGGGCTAATTTCCATCCGTCGTCCCACATTCACAAACACACACTCACCCTGAACTGCTGTATATGTTTTAGTGGTATACAGGAGAAACAGGAGAAACCGGAGCAACCGGAGGAAACCTACGCAGACATGAGGAGAACATGCAAACTCCACTCAGAGAGGCCCTGTTCCGACCAGGATTCGAACCCAGAACCTTATTCTAGGCTCCACAGACTACGGTTTGCATGTTCTCCCCGTGTCTGCATAGGTTCCCTCCGGGTGCTCCGGTTTCCCCTACCACTAAAAACATGTAGAGGTCTGTGCCTCCTGCGCTGGCCCCTCCCACCTCTGTGTGACTCTGGTCTGAGAAAGGCGCTATATAAAAAACATGACTTACTTTTGACAGCCCTAATTTAAATCTATAAATACATTATTCTCTCTACAGCGACACCGTCTACAGCATTATTATTCATAAACTAATTAAACAACTGAAATATGCAGAAAACACCAGAAATTACAGATAATCTAATTAAAGATTATGTTTCCCAGCGACCTTTAGCGAGAAATCCATTAGCCGCGACGCAGAGAACAACCGCAGCACCAGGAGGAAACCGGAGCACCTAGAGGAAACCAGAGCACCAGGAGGAAACCGGAGCACCAGGAGGAAACCGGAGCACCTAGAGGAAACCGGAGCACCTAGAGGAAACCGGAGCACCAGGAGGAAACCGGAGCACCAGGAGGAAACCGGAGCACCAGGAGGAAACCGGAGCACCAGGAGGAAACCGGAGCACCTGGAGGAAACCGGAGCACCTAGAGGAAACCGGAGCACCAGGAGGAAACCGGAGCACCAGGAGGAAACCGGAGCACCAGGAGGAAACCAGAGCACCTGGAGGAAACCAGAGCACCTGGAGGAAACCGGAGGAAACAGGAGCACCAGGAGGAAACCGGAGCACCTAGAGGAAACCGGAACACCAGGAGGAAACCGGAGGAAACAGGAGCACCAGGAGGAAACCAGAGCACCTAGAGGAAACCGGAACACCAGGAGGAAACCGGAGCACCAGGAGGAAACCGGAGCACCTGGAGGAAACCGGAGAACCAGGAGGAAACCGGAGCACCAGGAGGAAACCGGAGCACCAGGAGGAAACCGGAGCACCTGGAGAAAACCGGAGCACCTGGAGGAAACCGGAGCACCTGGAGGAAACCGGAGCACCTGGAGGAAACCGGAACACCAGGAGGAAACCGGAACACCAGGAGGAAACCGGAGCACCTGGAGGAAACCGGAGCACCTGGAGGAAACCTTCGCAGCACACTGGAATAACAAAGGTCCTAAAACCCACGAACCACTGCTTTTGTTTCCAATATAATTTGACATTTTGTTCCTCTTCTTTTGAAAGACTTTTTTTGGATGGATTTGTGAAAACTAAGACTTAAAATTAGACATCCCTTAGACTCTCTCTCCTCCCTCCGGTCTAGATTCTCTCCTCCCTCTGGTCTAGACTCTCTCTCCTCCCTCTGGTCTATACTCTCTCTCCTCCCTCTGGTCTATACTCTCTCTCCTCCCTCTGGTCTATACTCTCTCTCCTCCCTCTGGTCTAGACTCTCTCTCCTCCCTCTGGTCTAGACTCTCTCCTCCCTCCGGTCTAGACTCTCTCTCCTCCCTCCGGTCTAGACTCTCTCTCCTCCCTCCGGTCTAGATTCTCTCCTCCCTCTGGTCTATACTCTCTCTCCTCCCTCTGGTCTAGACTCTCTCTCCTCCCTCTGGTCTAGACTCTCTCTCCTCCCTCTGGTCTAGACTCTCTCCTCCCTCCGGTCTAGACTCTCTCCTCCCTCCGGTCTAGACTCTCTCTCCTCCCTCCGGTCTAGACTCTCTCCTCCCTCCGGTCTAGACTCTCTCCTCCCTCCGGTCTAGACTCTCTCTCCTCCCGCCGGTCTAGACTCTCTCTCCTCCCTCCGGTCTAGACTCTCTCCTCCCTCCGGTCTAGACTCTCTCTCCTCCCTCCGGTCTAGACTCTCTCTCCTCCCTCCGGTCTAGACTCTCTCTCCTCCCTCCGGTCTAGACTCTCTCTCCTCCCTCCGGTCTAGGCTCTCTCTCCTCCCTCCGGTCTAGGCTCTCTCTCCTCCCTCCGGTCTAGACTCTCTCTCCTCCCTCCGGTCTAGACTCTCTCCTCCCTCCGGTCTAGACTCTCTCTCCTCCCTCCGGTCTAGACTCTCTCTCTCCTCCCTCCGGTCTAGACTCTCTCTCCTCCCTCTGGTCTAGACTCTCTCTCCTCCCTCCGGTCTAGACTCTCTCTCCTCCCTCCGGTCTAGACTCTCTCTCCTCCCTCCGGTCTAGATTCTCTCCTCCCTCTGGTCTAGACTCTCTCTCCTCCCCTGGTCTATACTCTCTCTCCTCCCTCTGGTCTAGACTCTCTCCTCCCTCTGGTCTATACTCTCTCTCCTCCCTCTGGTCTAGACTCTCTCTCCTCCCTCTGGTCTATACTCTCTCTCCTCCCTCTGGTCTAGACTCTCTCCTTCCTCTGGAATAGACTCTCTCTCTCTCCCTCTCTGGTCTAGACTCTCTCTCCTCCCTCTGGTCTATACTCTCTCTCCTCCCTCCGGTCTAGACTCTCTCTCCTCCCTCCGGTCTAGACTCTCTCTCCTCCCTCCGGTCTAGATTCTCTCCTCCCTCTGGTCTAGACTCTCTCTCCTCCCTCTGGTCTATACTCTCTCTCCTCCCTCTGGTCTATACTCTCTCTCCTCCCTCTGGTCTAGACTCTCTCTCCTCCCTCTGGTCTAGACTTTCTCTCCTCCCTCTGGTCTAGACTCTCTCACCTCCCTCCGGTCTAGACTCTCTCTCCTCCCTCCGGTCTAGACTCTCTCCTCCCTCCGGTCTAGACTCTCTCCTCCCTCCGGTCTAGACTCTCTCTCCTCCCTCCGGTCTAGACTCTCTCCTCCCTCTGGTCTAGACTCTCTCTCCTCCCTCTGGTCTAGACTCTCTCACCTCCCTCCGGTCTAGACTCTCTCTCCTCCCTCCGGTCTAGACTCTCTCCTCCCTCCGGTCTAGACTCTCTCTCCTCCCTCCGGTCTAGACTCTCTCCTCCCTCCGGTCTAGACTCTCTCTCCTCCCTCCGGTCTAGACTCTCTCTCCTCCCTCAGGTCTAGGCTCTCTCTCCTCCCTCCGGTCTAGACTCTCTCTCCTCCCTCCGGTCTAGACTCTCTCCTCCCTCTGGTCTAGACTCTCTCTCCTCCCTCTGGTCTAGACTCTCTCTCCTCCCTCCGGTCTAGACTCTCTCTCCTCCCTCTGGTCTAGACTCTCTCTCCTCCCTCCGGTCTAGACTCTGTCCTCCCTCCGGTCTAGACTCTCTCCTCCCTCTGGTCTATAGACTCTCTCTCCTCCCTCCGGGCTAGACTCTCTCTCCTCCCTCCGGTCTAGACTCTCTCTCCTCCCTCCGGTCTAGACTCTCTCTCTCCTCCCCTCTGGTCTAGACTCTCTCCTCCCTCCGGTCTAGACTCTCTCTCCTCCCTCCGGTCTAGACTCTCTCTCCTCCCTCCGGTCTAGACTCTCTCTCCTCCCTCTGGTCTAGACTCTCTCCTCCCTCCGGTCTAGACTCTCTCTCCTCCCTCCGGTCTAGACTCTCTCTCCTCCCTCCGGTCTAGATTCTCTCCTCCCTCTGGTCTAGACTCTCTCTCCTCCCTCTGGTCTATACTCTCTCTCCTCCCTCTGGTCTAGACTCTCTCCTTCCTCTGGAATAGACTCTCTCTCCTCCCTCTGGTCTAGACTCTCTCTCCTCCCTCTGGTCTATACTCTCTCTCCTCCCTCTGGTCTAGACTCTCTCCTTCCTCTGGAATAGACTCTCTCTCCTCCCTCTGGTCTAGACTCTCTCTCCTCCCTCTGGTCTATACTCTCTCTCCTCCCTCCGGTCTAGACTCTCTCTCCTCCCTCCGGTCTAGACTCTCTCTCCTCCCTCCGGTCTAGATTCTCTCCTCCCTCTGGTCTAGACTCTCTCTCCTCCCTCTGGTCTATACTCTCTCTCCTCCCTCTGGTCTATACTCTCTCTCCTCCCTCTGGTCTAGACTCTCTCTCCTCCCTCTGGTCTAGACTTTCTCTCCTCCCTCTGGTCTAGACTCTCTCACCTCCCTCCGGTCTAGACTCTCTCTCCTCCCTCCGGTCTAGACTCTCTCCTCCCTCCGGTCTAGACTCTCTCCTCCCTCCGGTCTAGACTCTCTCTCCTCCCTCCGGTCTAGACTCTCTCCTCCCTCTGGTCTAGACTCTCTCTCCTCCCTCTGGTCTAGACTCTCTCACCTCCCTCCGGTCTAGACTCTCTCTCCTCCCTCCGGTCTAGACTCTCTCCTCCCTCCGGTCTAGACTCTCTCTCCTCCCTCCGGTCTAGACTCTCTCTCCTCCCTCCGGTCTAGACTCTCTCTCCTCCCTCCGGTCTAGACTCTCTCTCCTCCCTCCGGTCTAGACTCTCTCTCCTCCCTCAGGTCTAGGCTCTCTCTCCTCCCTCCGGTCTAGACTCTCTCTCCTCCCTCCGGTCTAGACTCTCTCCTCCCTCTGGTCTAGACTCTCTCTCCTCCCTCTGGTCTAGACTCTCTCTCCTCCCTCCGGTCTAGACTCTCTCTCCTCCCTCTGGTCTAGACTCTCTCTCCTCCCTCCGGTCTAGACTCTGTCCTCCCTCCGGTCTAGACTCTCTCCTCCCTCCGGTCTAGACTCTCTCTCCTCCCTCCGGTCTAGACTCTCTCTCCTCCCTCCGGGCTAGACTCTCTCTCCTCCCTCCGGTCTAGACTCTCTCTCCTCCCTCCGGTCTAGACTCTCTCTCCTCCCTCTGGTCTAGACTCTCTCCTCCCTCCGGTCTAGACTCTCTCTCCTCCCTCCGGTCTAGACTCTCTCTCTCCTCCCTCCGGTCTAGACTCTCTCCTCCCTCCGGTCTAGACTCTCTCCTCCCTCCGGTCTAGACTCTCTCTCCTCCCTCCGGTCTAGACTCTCTCCTCCCTCCGGTCTAGACTCTCTCTCCTCCCTCCGGTCTAGACTCTCTCTCCTCCCTCAGGTCTAGGCTCTCTCTCCTCCCTCCGGTCTAGACTCTCTCTCCTCCCTCCGGTCTAGACTCTCTCCTCCCTCTGGTCTAGACTCTCTCTCCTCCCTCTGGTCTAGACTCTCTCTCCTCCCTCCGGTCTAGACTCTCTCTCCTCCCTCTGGTCTAGACTCTCTCTCCTCCCTCCGGTCTAGACTCTCTCTCCTCCCTCTGGTCTATACTCTCTCTCCTCCCTCTGGTCTAGACTCTCTCCTTCCTCTGGAATAGACTCTCTCTCCTCCCTCTGGTCTAGACTCTCTCTCCTCCCTCTGGTCTATACTCTCTCTCCTCCCTCTGGTCTAGACTCTCTCCTTCCTCCGGTCTAGACTCTCTCTCCTCCCTCCGGTCTAGACTCTCTCTCCTCCCTCTGGTCTAGACTCTCTCCTCCCTCCGGTCTAGACTCTCTCTCCTCCCTCCGGTCTAGACTCTCTCTCCTCCCTCCGGTCTAGACTCTCTCTCCTCCCTCTGGTCTAGACTCTCTCCTCCCTCCGGTCTAGACTCTCTCTCCTCCCTCCGGTCTAGACTCTCTCTCCTCCCTCCGGTCTAGATTCTCTCCTCCCTCTGGTCTAGACTCTCTCTCCTCCCTCTGGTCTATACTCTCTCTCCTCCCTCTGGTCTAGACTCTCTCCTTCCTCTGGAATAGACTCTCTCTCCTCCCTCTGGTCTAGACTCTCTCTCCTCCCTCTGGTCTATACTCTCTCTCCTCCCTCTGGTCTAGACTCTCTCCTTCCTCTGGAATAGACTCTCTCTCCTCCCTCTGGTCTAGACTCTCTCTCCTCCCTCTGGTCTATACTCTCTCTCCTCCCTCCGGTCTAGACTCTCTCTCCTCCCTCCGGTCTAGACTCGCTCTCCTCCCTCCGGTCTAGATTCTCTCCTCCCTCTGGTCTAGACTCTCTCTCCTCCCTCTGGTCTATACTCTCTCTCCTCCCTCTGGTCTATACTCTCTCTCCTCCCTCTGGTCTAGACTCTCTCTCCTCCCTCTGGTCTAGACTTTCTCTCCTCCCTCTGGTCTAGACTCTCTCACCTCCCTCCGGTCTAGACTCTCTCTCCTCCCTCCGGTCTAGACTCTCTCCTCCCTCCGGTCTAGACTCTCTCCTCCCTCCGGTCTAGACTCTCTCTCCTCCCTCCGGTCTAGACTCTCTCTCCTCCCTCTGGTCTAGACTCTCTCTCCTCCCTCTGGTCTAGACTCTCTCACCTCCCTCCGGTCTAGACTCTCTCTCCTCCCTCCGGTCTAGACTCTCTCCTCCCTCCGGTCTAGACTCTCTCTCCTCCCTCCGGTCTAGACTCTCTCCTCCCTCTGGTCTAGACTCTCT